CAAGCCGAAACATAACAAATAAAAAAGAATGTTTAAAAAATATACATTTTTATTTTTATGATAGAATATAGTTATTGTCATCAGTATGACATAAATATACCAAGTTTGCAGTCGATATCACATTGAGAAGTGGGTTGAAATTGAGTTACAAGATTTGAGGATGCAACGACAACAACAACAGAGTGAGTTAAATGAAAGCGTGTAAAAAAAAACAACCTTGCTTACAAAAAATAGTTTAAAGTGTAATTAAATTTGTTTTTTTCTTTATAGACAACTAGCTTTACTGACTTGATTGGAAGCTTTCGTGACTGCAGGAATTACTCACGAAAGCTTCGAATCAAGTCTGAACCACCTCTACGGGGAGGTATGAAGTTTGTGTCTGTGTTGTCTCTGCTTGTGTATGTCTTTGTGTCTTGGCTTGGATTTGTGTCTCTGTGCTGTCTCTGCCTGTGTGTGGGCCTTGATGTTTCCGAGTGGGTGCTGCTGCGCCCCCTTTGCTCCATGCATACCTCATGTTGATTTGTCCCATTGTCTCTCAGCCTTACCTTCTCTGCCTATTTAAGGCGACTTCACTGTGTGCTTGTCTGTGCTGGTTCACTCTACTTGGATGTCTATGTGTGTGTGCGCGGTCTGTATTTAAAATTTCATACTTAACTTGCAATTTAGCAATCTTTGAAATAGCGTGATCAACCGGACTATGCGTTAATTGTGTTTTGACCGACCGTCTGTGTTGCTTTATATGGTTTCCAAATTTTGCTAAACCCTGTTTGTCTGGTATGCTTCTCTCTCTGTGTCCCCTGTTGTATCTGTGCTAGTTCCCCCCTACTTGGGTGTCTGTATATACATCTGGGGTTATGTGTTTCCTCTCTCTCGTAAATGTAGCTCTTCTGTACCTGATGATGGCTGCTTGTGTTGCAACCGAAACGTTGTACGCTATTATGTTATTTTATTATTTCTTATTTATACGTGACTTTACCGAAAAAAACAAAGAGTAACTAGCTTTACTACCCGGCTTCGCCCGGGACTTGGATTCACCACGCCCGCCGCCTTTGTCTCCCCAGTGTCGATGTTCACACAGCAGAGCAGTTACTCGTTTGATGCTGAGTCGATCTAGGGGAGGCCCAGGACCAGTTAAAATAATCGTCACCGGTGGTGGCCGTGAGCGGGAATCGAACTCGGGTCGCCGGGTTCGTAGCGCAGCGTGCTAACCACTACACTACAATGCGTTACGCTTCCACACACACATACACACAGACACATACACACACAGACACATACACAGACACACACACACAGACACATACACAGCGCGCTAACCACTACACTACAACGCGTTACGCTTCCACACACACAAACACACACATACATACACAGACATACACACATACACAGACACATACACAGACACACACACAGACAGACACATACACAGACACACACACAGACACATACAACAACAACAACCGCCATTCGCCACTAAGTGGCGGTGACGTCACCACGACGCTTGTGCCAGGCTATGTGCACACTGAGGCCACGTGAAGTGTTGAACACCCGCTGGCAGGAGGTCACGGGGCAGACCCAGGTGCCACGGGTCGACTGACTGAGATGACTGGCTGATGCACCACCTGTGCCCCCTACTGTGCCAACCTGCTGTCCTTTAGCCACCCGGCGCTCCGCTCGTTGTTCTGAGCGTCGCTCCTCCGCCCTCCGTTGTTGTTGGAGGGCGACTACCTCCAACTGCCCAGTAGCATCCTTCACGAGCCTCCTCCACAGAGGCCGATCTTGACACCGCTGGTACCAGTCATCGGCAAGTCCACTCAGCTTCACGTCCTCCTGTACCACATCACTCCATCTCTTCTCTAGCCCGTGCCGCGCCCGCTTAGCCCCCTCAATCCGGCCAAACAAAAGCTGTTTCGGCATGCGGTGGCTGGGCATGCAGGCTACATGACCCAGCCATCGCAGCCTTGCCCGCCGGAAGAGCTCACCGATGGGACCTTGCCCAGATCTTTCAAGGATTTGTGAGCTCCTCACACAATCCAGTCTGGTTAAACCCAGGATGGATCGTAGGCAGGCCAGCCTAAATGTTTCTAACCGGTGAAGATGTTCCATTAGGGGGGTCCACGTTTCGCAAGCGTAGAGAAGGGAGGGAATGACCGTGGCCGAGAAGACCTGAAGCTTAGTGCGGAGCGACAGACCAGGTAGCTTCCACACAGCGTTACGCAACCGATGAAAAGATATTGCCGCTCGACTGATTCGGAGTGAGACCTCTGCTGTTAAACTGAAGCCAGTCATAAGCACACTGCCCAGGTATGGGAAACTCTCCACTCTCTCCACAACTGCCCCATCACCGATTGGGAGTTGTGGGGGTGGAGTGTCCGATGGTACAAAATACCCAGGCAGGTGCTTAGTTTTGGTGGGGCTGATGGTAAGGCCCCACCTCTTAGTGGCACGCTCCAGTCTCAGCAGCAGCGTCTCCAACTCCTCCTCTGACTGAGCAGCTATTACCAAATCATTAACATACATAACGTGGTTGAGCAATAGGGAGCCATCCCTTGACCGCACCCGGGCATCGATCAGCCTACCATTATATCTGTACCATATGGAGATTCCCCCGGTAAAGCTATTGAAGGCTTCACGAAGTACGTGGTCAAAATAGATGTTAAATAATGTGGGAGCCAGAGGACATCCCTGTCGCACCCCAAGGTGTACAGGGAATGGCTGACTCCCGGCCACGTAGTTTTACCCGGGCCCGCTCAACATCATGAAGGTCCTTAATGATCGTGAGCAGAGGGTCAGGTACTCCAAAAGCAAGAAGAACGACCCAGAGCCCAGGCCTACTGATGGTATCATAGGCCTTGACCAGGTCAATAAAGCAGAGATGTAGGTCTTGTTGGAATTCCCTACACCTCTGCTGTAGCAGACGGACATAAAATATGGCATCTGTGCAGGACCGCCCTTTCCTGAAACCGCATTGGGGCTCCGTAAGCCTCTCCTCAGCGTGCCTAGCAAGGTGATGTTGAATAATCCTTGCCAGGACCTTTCCCGGCACACTGAGGAGTGAGATGCCCCTGTAGTTGTTACAGTCTGTGCGGTCCCCCTTCTTAAAAAAAAGGGGGACCACCAGGGCATCCTTCAAATCCTGCGGAACCCGTCCAGTGGTCCAGACTGTTGTTATGATGTCATATAGGGCAGTCTGTGCACAAACGCCACCCTCCCTCAGCATTTCGCTTGGGAGATCATCTCTGCCCGCTGCCTTTCCTGGTCTCAGACTCCTGATCGCCTTCAGTACTTCCTCAACAGATGGCACCTCAGCCAGCCACTCACAGGGGGTGACTTCTTCCAATATTTGAGGCACCGCAGCCTCAGCAGGGTCATCCTCACTTTGTGCCACGATGTTTTCCTGGCTGAGGGATTTTCCCTCCCCCAGGACCTCACAGAAATGCTCAGCAAATATGCAAACCTGTTCCTGGGGGTCGGAGATTGGATCACCGTTTTTCCCCTAATGATGGTAATAGGTGTGGTGCTGCAGGTTACTTTTTTGATGGAGTTAAATAGAGATTTGTGATCACGGGCCACTGAGGCAGACTCCATCTCCTCAGCAACCCGCGACCACCACCCATCCTTGCAGCGCCTCACGGCTCTCCGAACCTCCGAGCGAAGGCTGCGGTAAGCCTCCTCATTCTCTGACGTGGGATTCTGTAGCCGATGACAGTGGGCCTGTCGCTTTTTCTCAACCATCCTGAACACCTCCTCTGTCAGCCAGGGTCTCTGGGGAGGTCTGGACCGCGTACCTAAAGCAGCCATTGCAGCTCCATGAGTCACAGTCCTAAACCTCGCCCATTTACCCTCGACATCAGGAGGAGTCGGGGACGATGCCAATCCCAGCCGCAAGCGATGATGAAATTCTCGTTTGCAACTTTCATCAGATAACTGAGACCAGGCCACTTTAGGTCGGAATGGGGTCCTGGGTGTACACCCACCACCGGAGTGGAAGAATGGCAGGCGCATCTTACAGATGACTAGTCGATAGTCAGAGGGCAGATCAGCTCCACAGTAGGTCCTGGTGTCAAGGACATGGGCTCGCATCCGCTGGTCCGTCACTATGTAGTCCAGCAGATGTTCTTGCTTGAAGACACATACACACATACACACAGACACACACACACAGACACATACACACACACAGACACACACACAGACACACACAGACACATACACAGCGCACTAACCACTACACTACAACGCGTTACGCTTCCACATGCGCGGGTCACGTGACAGATTTGACGTCACAGCTCACTTGCCGTGCAAAAAAATATATATGCATTATATTGCAGTCGAAACGTCGTGAGAATTTTATTGTTTTATATATATTTTATTGTTTCCCTTCAACGTGACTTTACCAAAAGAACCAAGAATATGAATCACTGCAGTCACGAAAGCTTTAAATAAAAATAAATGCATTATTGAGCTCCTCCCCCCCCCCCTAAAAAAAAGTGTATTTTTATAATTTTTGCATGGTGCACAGTCTGGAAAGTACCCACACGACAAAATTCCAAGTCAGTTGCACGTCGGCAAAGTACGCTGAACATTTTGAACCAGACACAACGTAAATCACAACTTTGCCTTTTAAATATATTTGTAGATTTAAAAAAAACAGCCCCGCGGCCACGAGGTGGCGCAACAGCCTCAAATGCCGTGGTTAAAGCTCACTCGGCAGTGGCGACGACGACTAGGCCTTTTGACGTTCGCCTGACGTTCGCCTTCGTTGAGTAGCAGCGGCAACAGGGCGACGTCAGCTCGCCCCGCTTTGCATAGACACGAGGAAGTTTCTCCTTCCTCTCTGGTGCCGACAACGGCGTGGGAATAACCCTCCTCCTTCCCCTCATGACACACACACGCACACACACAAACCATTTCCGCGACTTCTCCTCATGCAAACGAACAATCCGACATGTAGCCCGGTGTTGTCGGTGCAATCCACAATGCTGGGGTTTTTTTAAATATAAACTTATTCTCCTATTCTAATGGTACCACGTCGTGACGTCCCGTCGCAGTCCCGCTGTGATGGGGCTTGACACTCGCCCGGCCTCCTGCTGCTGTTGCTGCTGCTGTTGAATGAGAACGGTAAAACTCTTCGCCTGTCGCCCTGTTAATCAGTCACTAACCACAACCACCACCACACGTTAAAGACTTCAACGTGTGTGCGCCTGAACTGTTGTTGTCGTTGTGCATCGTAACGCCGTCGCAAGATGTGGAACGAGGGCGATAATGCGTTCGCGTACGCGGAGCGAAGAGAGGGACGACTGCCCTTCGTGTTGCCTATCCACCGCCAGCTTCTCCTTCTTCACCATCATCATCACCATCATCATCCTCACCATCATCATCGTCACGCGGCCTTGCTCATCGCGGTCGTGTTTTTTTTCGGCGGGGGTCTTGTTTTTGACCATACTTCCCCACCAAACGCCTACCACAAGACGCCCGGTGCTTGCTGTAAGTAGCAAGGCCTAAGCCCAGGGCCGGCGGAGACGCTGGCCGTGACCGGGAATCGAGAACTCTCTTTGTCGCCCGTGAGGGTGGGCAAGGTGGTTGGTGAGTGGTGGTGGTGGGGCTGAAGCTTCTCACTTAAATGTTACGGATTTATAAAAAAAACTCAAATACTTCTCAACCACACCGTTGTGTGTGTGTGTTACGTGGTGTGGCGTGTAGCAGGCACCTGCCCCGGCAGTCTTGTCGAGGCTACGCCAGAGGCGGATCTGCGTCTTCGTTGTGACTTTATTGACACCTAGGCAAAGGTTTTTGAGGTGTTGCTGTTTTTTTTTCTCTCTCTCTTGGAGAGCCCGTCACATGTCGAAAGCGAAGCTGGGAGATTGATTGAGCCTGTGTGTAAGTCGCTGATGTGTGGGTAGCATCGCGTACAGCAGGTTGCCCGAGGACTTGGGAAATTCATTGTTGTACTGTCAATCTATGTCCCCCCCCACCCCCCGTCTTTACCAACCCTCGCACTTACCAGCGTGGTGAAGTATGGTTAAAGTACCGAAGGGTCAAGCCAACCCCGTGACCCGTACTGCGTGGTGAGATAAAACATTTTTTTAATAAATCCCTGTTAGTCATATAAGTTCAGTGTTTTTTTTTAGTTTCCGATGTTACTCATTGATTTGGTTAATCGGTGGTTTTTGGTGACCCTGTAATTTTTTTATCCGTTTGCCAATGTAATTTGTTTAAAGAATGGCCTTGCAAGAACGAGGATTTCACGAAATGTACTCTGACCTATGAACACAATTCGGGGGTGCACTTCCCAACGCAACGCCTGCTACAGAGGCGAATGCTCATCGCACTGTGATCAAACCGAAACGTTAATTCTCAAGAGCTGGAAGTTTGCCAAATTACGTGAGTAACTTACACGTGTGTGTGCAGTTATTGGTGGCTGGACTGATACCATCAACTAACTGCACTTTAAAATACAGTTTAAATAGTCAAAATGTCAATTCAAATTAGAAATACAATCATTCTCAATTACAGTACATGTGTTTACCAAGATTCGAACCCAGGATCTTATTTACCCTCTTTTGCACTGGCACATCCGAGCCGAGCCTGCGCAGGGACATCACGGTACGAGTGGTTTTCCATTGGCTCTTTGCTGACCTGGCCTCAACAACAAACCCTAAACCGGCTGGGGATTAACCAGTGCCTGGGGTGGAGCTAATACCACGGAAAACATTTCCCATTCCGATGACGTACGTACGTGTACATCATCGGAATGGAATCGGAAGTAAAAGGCCAAGTGGCAGGGCGTGTGGCACCAGCTCTTGTTGAGTGCTGTCGAATCGCTACGGTTCTCTGCGTTGAGTGAATGTCTTTAAAAACAGCGGTGCTCCGCCTCTTCTAAATAAAATTAACTCTGAGCCGCTTGCACTTTTATAAGATTCAGCGGTGAACGGGACACCCACCTTGCAACTTGCAGACGTCTCAGAGTGGGAAAGGGTTAATTGCGTGTGACGTCGGCGGCACTGCTCGGCTTCTGCGGTGGAAAAACAACAACTGGGAGACCTCCTGAGCCACCCGGGCTCACTTGGCACGACCTCGGCGTGGCTTGGTTGTGTAGTGGAAAAAGAGGTGTTAGCGGTGCCGGTTTCAGTGCTCTTAACCCTGAGACAGCCGGCCAGCCACCTCCTGAAGGAGATGTTCGTACACATTTTTTGTTAACTTCATCTCTCGACACCTGTCCGTTCAGATGGTGGTTCGGGTCCTGATCCGGCAGACTTCAAGATGAGGGCTTCCGTGTCGCCCAGAAAGATCTCTCTCGTCCTGCTGTGTGTCGTCGTTTTCCTGCTGCCTGCGGACGGAATCGCTGATGTGGTTCTCCACCTGCAATCCCTCAGCTGTTCAAATTCAGTAAGTGGCGTTCTTGTTGGAGAATATTTTCAGCTCAGTGGGCTGTACCTGGAAAAAATAAAAATAGTTTATCTTTACAGATTTGTTTAGTGAGTTCCTTACCTTTCTTGTACTTTGCACTGCTGTCGTGTTTTGTAGTTGTAACTTTCTGACCCGCCCCTACTGGACATCTGTGAAAAATAATTTCATAGCTCATCGGATTCCTCCTGCAGTATAAAGTAAAGATTCTGATTATGCTGTATTGTTAGGCCATCGCTGGCTCGATTTGTCTAGCGCACTCACTGCATGCCAGGCACAAACCTTGCTCGTTGGCAATTGCTCAGGCCATGTTTGACAGTGACTTCAAGCCTCACAACTGTAGGATTTTTACAGCTTTAGTACCATATTCTCCGGATTAAAAGACACTGCAGAAAGTAAGACTTAACTAAAACTAGATTTTATACAGCGAAATTCACACAAGGCCTCAGAGATTCACGTAAACTAATTCATTCCTTCACATATAAAACTGAATGCACGATTAGCTATGTACGGTACGTATGTATGTTGAACTTCTTTCGCATATACATACATATGTATGGAGTTCTACGTACGTATGTATGTTGAACTTCTTTTGCACCGCATGTAGCCAACCGTGCTAATGGGATCAATAAAACCCGACACATAAAACGAAAATAAAACCAAACAGAATAAAAACAATATAAAAGGCACATAATCTACATAAACTGGAATGCAAATGACATGTATGTTTTATTATGGTAAGTTATATGGCAAGTAAAATGCAACCCCAATTTTTGTGTCATCTTTGAGGGTTCTTCTCGTCATTTACAGATTTAATAAATGCACGTTAATGTTCCACAGACTGAGGATTACAGCATGCTGTACGAAAGACAGCACTCACATTGCACTACCACCGCACAACCAATGCTCACACTGCCACCAGTCTCAGTACTGTGACAGTACCAACACCAGCATGCAGCAGCATAATTTTTTTTCGTTAAATAAAATGTAGTTTTTACAATGGGTCTGACTGAGGACTGAGCAGTGTGAAACTTTCTGGCACGTACATTTGATGCCGAGCACAATTGTAAGTTGCATGTCCAGTTGACTGGTTACAGGACACGTACACATCCCAGTTATTATCAACACTGCTGGATGAGGGCCTCCCAAAGCCACCGTCACCTCTCACAATCATGCGGTGTCATATGCACCGATCACCTGCATACAAACGGATTTCATTGCTCCATCTCCTCAGTCGACGTTCTCTTGGAAGCGTTCCATTGCTTGGCCATGTGCATCGCAGTTGGTGTGCAATGTTGAAAGTTTACTCGGCCACTTGAATGAATCAATGTTTCTTCACCGCTGGCAGCTTCGAGTTAGCATTGCTAATCATTAGACATTTGTGCCGGGTGAGTCTAATCGCTGGGGGTTTACGATTAACTTTCATGGGTCCATGCGCTTAATGGTAATGTCGAGGAAATATTATGTTTTACAGTGAATACAACCTCTGGGAAACAGCAGTCACAACTCAGTCGAAATGTATTATTCCATTGCATGTTTTTTTATATAATATTATTAATGAAGCCCATGGGCTACATACTGCAATAACCAGGAAATATCACCGTGGTCTCTGGATTGTAAGATGCACCGGAAAGTAAGACGCACCCAAAATTTGTGGCTGGTGTTAATACAGTAATGAATACTGGGGAAAACGCGTGCTCTATAACCTGGAATGTATGGTATATCTGGATATCTGTACAAAGACACTTCATGTTTGTTCCATCAATCCCCATAAAATGCTGGCCAGTTGGTACATATTACAGGATATGCAAATCCCAGTAAACATGGAACGTTGGCTCAATGCTGGTCCAATGCTATCAACCACATGCCAATGTTGACCCAATGTTGCATGTTTACTGGAATGTTAATTCATTGGTGTTCAGCACTATGTTATTATTTCACTATTCTTGTATGTTTTTGTTGTAAAATGTAGTTTTTTGCTTTGCACAGGGCCCCATAGTTTAGATGGAGGGCTCTTGCCAACATCGGGTAGCCCAGCAGAATTTTTTTTTAGCAAGCCGGAGTCTGCCGATGGGACCCAGAAGGTCATAACTAGCCCCTAGTTTGCTTGCATGAACAAATGTTGCTAGATAATATTTGTCTGGAAAGCCAGTAGGCTGATGGACTACAGCTTGTTTTATTTAAGTGTGGAGACAAGCGTAATGGAGTTCTGCTCTATTTGATAAATATTTTTTCGTGACAGTCATGTCAAAGTGAAGCAAAATGGTCCTAGATAAGAGAAGTAATGGAACACTGGGTATGTGTCTGATTGCCAGCAAATCTTGGGGGATTACAGTGTATGGTGTTTTTACTTGTACTCTTTGTTTTTTTATTTGTTATGGTTTGTTGTTTTTACTTGTGTTTTGTGGCTCAATCAAACTAATTAAGAGTTGTCTCTCGAGTGTATCGTTTTCGAGGTGAATTACTTGATTATTCTTTCATTGTGGATGTGTATTTAAAATTCTCAATGGTTTTGTTTCTTTTCAGGATATGAATTGTTCAATAGTTGGTAAGTGTTTTCAATTATTTGTTACGGTTTGTTGTGGGCTCATATTAAAGTCAAATAATGTTATATCACAGAACAAAGATTGAGGGCTGCTAAAGTGATCTCTTATCCACCATCAGGAAGCACTGCACTTTCCCACGCATCCTTTCCCACACACCCAGCTTACAGACATTTCATGAGTAAAATTATCACCTGATTAAGTGATAAGCTAAACTTTATAAGATCGAATTTCTTGTGTGTAGTGTTAAAAGTATGGAAGAGCGGTTAGCACATTGCACTTTGAACCGAAGGGACCTGCATTTAATTCGTGGCCATGGCTAACATCGGAGGCGAGTGATATCAGAACTTGTCCTGGGTCCCCCATTCAACAAACAGCGTGGTGAAGTATGATTAAACAAATCTCACAACTAACAGCACACAGAAGCCTTTATCCAGCAGTTAATTGACTGTAAATTATCGTT